TTTGTTGGTTTCAGGGTTTAGGTTTAGGGTTTTTGGGTTTAGGGGTTTTAGGGTTTAGGGTTTAGGGCTTAAGGGGATTTATTGGTTTCAGGGTTTAGGTTTAGGGTTTTTAGGTTTGGGGGTTTTAGGGTTTAGGGTTTAGGGCTTTTGCGGTGTAGGGAAGCCTTTGACAATGCCACCGATTCTTGGAGGGCGCTGGTGCGGCAGCAGGAGTATGCCTCCGCGATGCTGGAGGAGCAGGCCCCGATGAGAGCAACATCAAGAAGTGCTGTGAGTTGTGCTGTTCTGATGGCTGGATCATGATAAGACGACGACGAAAATGATGATGATGATGATGAGGACGATGAGGATGACGAAGACCGTGAAGGTGACGATGGTGATGGCGACGTGATGGCTGTATGGTGGCGTGGTCACGGTGATGGCAATCTGAATGTATCTGAATGATCAACATGATCTTATCGAGAGTGCCTGTGCTTGTTTTCTGGGGTTGACGGTGTATTGTCTAATCCACCGCGCTGGCCCAACAAGGCAAATCCCAGTTGTCTAAAGTCGGAATCCCGACCCGAAATTCCAAATCGTACTGTAGGTACTTGTTGCTCTTGGTATTGTGTTCGGACTGCTCATATCGATGATCATTGTTTTCCGATGACTACATGCACTTGTTACGATCGCCATTCTGATGCTCTTGTTCGATGACTATGCCCTGCTACACTCCTACCGCCAATTCCGATGATAGTCACGACCGACCCTGAACTCTCTCTTGAACCCTGATCCTTAAACCCCAAGCCGAAACCCTAAACCCTAAACCCTAAACCCTAAACCCTAAGCCCTGTTGCAAGGAAGCCAGGCTCGAACGAGTCAAGGACCACATCGGCAACTATGCAGTCAGGAGCCGCCTGCATCTGTTCTGAGCCACGGGTCTCGTTCATTGTAGACACTGTGGCAGTCAGCCTTTGCCAGGAACTGTAAGAAGTACACGACATGTTCGTCATCGTTGATCATGACTGGTAGTAATGATCCATGATAGCAGCGGCAAGCCCGCAGCTGCCGTTGCTCAGACCTGGTCCTGCAGCTCCAACCCCCAGCAATCCTGAAGCCCGAAACCCTGAACCATCTAACCTGACGCCTTAATACGTGGAAGCTGTGCAGTGTTGTGAGCTTGGGGGGGGCGATAAGGCCTTTGGACTTTTTCGGCTCGGAGTCCTCGTGTCCTCCAGTTAGGTTGGGTCTTAGGAAAGGTTAGGAGATTTTAGGGTACACGGTTTCGAAGTTTCGGGGTTGGGTTCTGGCAGCAATTCGGGGGTTGAGAAAGTAAAGTCGAGCCTAAGTCCAAACACCGGCCTATTCCTAGACATTTGAGTTTGGGGTCTTGAAGTAGCCCCAAAAGTGCCCGCTGCGGATTTAGACCACACTAGAACCGAATCAGTTTACGACCCTGTGAAATTCGCAAGTTGCGGGCTGAAGCATTTTCCAACACACTAGGCGCCCAATCCGACACCACAATAGTATTTAGAAGCGATCTTAGCTTCTATGTTATTCCAAAGCAGTACGCCCAGCCACTGGTCTTCACGACGCAGTTATCACACTATCCCAACACATGGCTCCTGATCATGACACATGTTCATCGACCGAACGGGATTCAGGGCAAATAAACACTTGTCCATAGACCCAATGCTTCGCAGTGACACCAGGGACGCAGAAGGTGCAAGGGGTACCGTCTGTGCGATATCATCAAAAGTTGACCTTCAACCCTTAAGCCCCAAACCCTAAATACGCATAAACCCTACATCGAAGGATGCAACAGCTACTGGTAGGTCCTAACCCGAAGCTCCATGCCCGGAGGTCTCGCCCCCTGTGCCCTGAAAACCTGAAACCCTCTGTAGCAGGTCAGGTTTTAGGTGCTTAGAATACCTTATTGAGCCTTATTGCTTTGTTTAGAACGGGGATTCTGGGATATCCCAAACATATGTGTTTTTTGGTTGAGGTTCTTCTGGGGGTGCCTATTCAGTAGAACGCAGAGATGAGAAGCACCAGACTCGAAACCTCAGGCTCCAAACCCTATATTCCAGAATCCTAAAACCCGAAAGCCCTCAGACATACGATCCCAACACCATAACAGTCATGGCTTTGAACATGAAGATCCCAAGCCCCTCGCCCGGGCACCTCATGGCCAAATCCGGATCGCGCGAGAGGATCCGAAAAGCTGCAGCCCTGATCGAAGAGTGTAGTTGCCTCCAGAAGGCTCGGGGACTTCAGGTTTAGGGTTTAGGCGTTTTAGGGTTTAGGGGTTTCAGGGTTTAGGGTTTGATGGCTTTAGGCTTGGGGGGGCGGTTTTGGTGCAGTTTAGGGCTCCGGGGTTCAGGATGTAGGATGCTGGGGTTTTCCCAGTCGAAGCTTTAGGGTTTAGGGGTTTTGGGGTTTGGGGTCTAGGCTTCGAGGTTCAAGGCTGAGGGTTTTGGCTCAGAGTTTTGCATTGGATTCGCAGTTCAATTGAGCTTTTAGGGTGGTAGGGTCTTGGGAGGTAGTCCCGTAAGCCATACTCCCATAACCTCAAGGCTAACAATCCAAGAAACCAGTGCCATACACCCGAAACCCAAACCCTAAAACGCCAAAACCCCAAACCCCAAAACCCTAAAACCCGGAACCCCGAGAATCCTAAACCCTACATCGTAGACTAAACTGACTAAACCCTAAAAGCCCCACTTTCTACAGCCTAAAACCCTCAAAGTCCCTACGTTTTGAAGCCTAAACCCCTAAACCCTAAACCCCTAAACCCTAAACTCTAGAAGCCCTGAAAGCCCTGCATCCAATCCTCAGGGGCAGGAACTCAAAATCTGGGAGCCGCCAGAGGCTAGGGAAGATCTGGGATTCAGGGTTTCAGGGCTTAGGGTTTAGGGTTCAGGGCTTAGGGTTTAGGGTTTAGGGTTTAGGGTTTAGGATTTAGGGTTTAGGGTTTAGGGTTGATCCGGTGGCGTTTGCTTCAGCGTTTTCAGTCTCTACTAGAACACCGGGCTTCATGGTCTGTGGTTTTGTTTGGGCTGTTAGGAGCCTTTAAGGTTTCATGGGGTCTCGTAGCTTGTTTAGGGCTTCGTTTTTAATGGGCCGTGTTTCTGCTGCTCGCAAGGTTTTAAATGGAGTTCGGGGGTTGGGGGTTTAGGGATGTCTTGCCAAATTTAGTTGCGGTGCTCAGGTTAGTGTCTGAGAGCGGTAGGGAGGGGTGGGGTGTATCAAAAGGTGTAGGAGTTGGGGTTTAACGCTCGAGGTTGGGGATCGTTTTTTCGGGTTGAGTACTTTGGGGCTCGGGATCTTCTCGCAGTGCAGCTGGAGCTTAGAGAGTACAGCACAAGCTTTCTGGTGGTCACCCGGCTCGAGCAACTAAGCAGCTGTGAGCAAATCCAGTAAGAGGCGTGCTTAAGGCTTAAGCATCAAGGGCAGCAGTAGTATCAAGGGTCCAAGAGTACCAGCAGTAGGTGGCAGTAGCACCAGTCTCATAATCATGGTACGGGTAACAGTCGCTGGCACGATTCGCAATCATAACCATTGGCAGTCGTCGTAGACCTTCGAGCTTGGAACACCGACATCCTGACCGATCCGGGCCGAAACCCCTCATCCACGCATCTTCAAATCTTGAAGCCTCATCTCTGGTCGAAGACAACAACGGCTAGATCTTGCAGAAAGTTCAGTGTTTCGGGGAAAGATAATGAAGCGGAGCTTCAGCTGATGGCTGAGGACAGCTAGCTGCAGACCTACCACACGCCTCCATTTTTAGCTGATATACCCTAAACCCTAAACCCTAGAACTCGAAGTTCAGGAGTTAAACGGGAGTCTCGGGTTCAGGGAAGCCCAAGGTTCCAGGGTTTGGGGCTTAGGGTGTGCTCAGGGCTTATTAGGGTTTAGGGTTTTAGGGTTTAGGCTTTAGGGTTCAGGGTGTAGGGTTTAGGGTTAGGCTTTGGGGAAGCTTGGGACGGCAATCTGGGAGGTCACGTCCACAACGACTACCACGACCGTGATGAAAGCCAAGGCCGCCGTTGGTGATGCGATGTCCTGCTTCGGGTCATTATCATCATCATCATCATTAATCACTATTCTCACTATTATGATTGCTACGGCTCCAATGACTATCCTTGCTATCATCTGCATCCTGTCGAAAAACAGGGCAGTTTGGTGACATGTTGTCGATCTTCCAAGTCTGGGCCCTCAGCCCGGCTCTTGACTGTAAGGACGAGGACAAGGACGGAAAGGCCGACGACAAGGATGATGCCAAGGATGAAGGGAAAGATGATGGGAAGCCGGAAGATAGCGATGAGGGCTCTGGTTCTGCGACCGATACGAACAGCGCTCTGAGCTCAGTCGGGTGGCCGAATCGGTGAATTCTGTTCATGTCCTCTTGTTCTGGCCCAGGCATTTGCAACAACTATGTACAACTCTTGGGACGCAGACATGGAGAATGGCAAGCTGGGTGATGCAGACATCAAGCTGTACGAGGCTGATGCGCCGACCTCAGCACCAAGGAGCGTGGGGATTGGGATGGCGCTTATTGACGATCGGCCGTCTTTGGACTTCAAGTTTGGCCGCTTCGTTTGCCTAGGGACTTTCCGGTTCATGCGCTTGTTGTCTCCGTTTGTTGTTGTGGCATCCACGTGGACGTATCTCCACCTAGCGCCCAGCACAGATTTGTGCCAAACCCTAAACCCGACACCCAAAACCCTAAANNAACCCTAAAGCCTAAAGTCAAAAAGCAAAAGAAAACCTGGTTTTGTTCAATTTGAAAGACTAGACTGCAGACGCAGGTGATCCCCGAAATGAAGACCCACGTGACCCAGGGGCCCAGAACTTCTTCGACCAAGTTCCCAACACGGCTGACCAAAGACCTGCAGCCGAAACCCTAAACCCAAATCTCGAAAACCTTACATTCTAAATCCCAAACCAGACCTTGTAAACCCTAATCCCCTTCGCCCTGAACAAACCTAGACCCTAAAGCCCCAGAGCCCTGGCCAAGGCCAGCAGCCCCGGCTCGGTCAAGAAGGAGTGCCTCTTTACAGCCCCCTGGCTGCCGGGAGAGCCGGTTCGGAGTGGATTTTTGTTGCTCTTGGTTTTCGTCATAGTATGTTATGTAGTATATTATTGTGTGTCATGGTATGTTATATAGTGTGGTATATTATTTTGTGGCATAAAATGGACTTCTCCAAGTATTGAAGGATAACAAATTAAGAGTAGGTTTGTCGCTCCACAGGAGTAGGGTGCTAGCTGCTCCTGCCACTGCTCTACTGCTACTTCTAGTGCTACTCGTCCTGCTACTACTACTACTACTACT